GGAGCCCGACGCGGGGCTCGATCCCAGGACCCTGGGATCATGACCTGAGCCGAAGGCAGACGCTTAACGACTGAGCCACCCAGGCGCCCCTGGAGAAACCTTTTAACACAGTAAATATTTACCTAAGGGGTATTTTGAAAGTGTGTCTTAGTTTTTGCTGTAAAAATGAACAGTGTTGTCTTTTTAGCACTGTGAGTTGAGATTAATACTATAAGTATCAATATCTGCTGGTGACTCATAGAGGGAGCTATAGAAATTTATTAACAACTTCACTGCATTATGTGAGCTTGACTGTAGTTATTTTTATTCTAGGGATATGAGGATTGGCTAAGACACAGAGCTGACAATGAAGTCAACAAGAGCACTGTTTACATTATTGAAAATGGAAAGCGAGTGAGAAAAGAGAGTGAAAAAATCAAGGTATTTTTGTGGTTCATCTTTTTTATTGTGGTAAAAACACAGCTTTTTAAAATACACAGTTTAGTGACATTTAATACATTCACATTGTTATGTAAATTTCAACACTGTCTAGTTCCAGAACATTTTCATCACCCCAAAAGATAACCCCCATAGGCATTAAGTAGTCATGCCACATTCCTCCCTCTCCCAGGCCCTGGCAACCACTAATCTTCTTTCTGTCTCTATGGACTTACCTATTCTAGATTATTTCATGTAAATGGAATCAGACACTATGTGGCCTTTTCTGTCTGCCTTCTCTTACTTAATGTAATGTTCTCAAGGTCTGCCTTCTCTTACTTAATGTAATGTTCTCAAGGTCTGCCTTCTCTTACTTAATGTAATGTTCTCAAGGTCTGCCTTCTCTTACTTACTGTAATGTTCTCAAGGTCTCTTCCTATTGTAGCATATATTAGTAATTCTTGCTTTTTATGGCTAAATATTCCATCATATGGCTATACCATCTTTTCTTTATCCATTCATCAGTTGATGGACATTTGGGAGTTTTCCCACCTGTTGGTTATTATGAACATTGCTGGTATGAACATTCATGGTCAAGTTTTTGTTTGAACACCTGTTTTCAATTATTCGAGATATACACCTAGGAGTAGAATGGCTACATAACATGGTAGTTCTATGTTCAACTTTTTCATGAACCACCAAGTGGCTGTGCCACTTTACATTCCACCAGCAATGTATGAGAATTCTAAGATAGTATTATTTTTTACTATCAACCGAGTTATTTTTTAACCCAAATTAATCATTGTTGATTATTACCTAATAAGATCCCAGTCAATTAAGATTTTAGACCTGTCCATATCAGACAATATGTTTTGTTCCTAACAGATTGTATTTTTTTAACAGATTGTATTTTAATTGATAATAAACCTTACTTTTTTAGAGCAGTTGTGGGTTCACAGCAAAATTGAGGAAAGTACAGTTTTCACATATACCCCCTTTTCCCACATGTGTACAACTTGCCCCACTATCAGCATTCCATAGTGGTATTTTTGTTGCAATCCATGAACCTACACTGGCACATCATTATCACCCAAAGTCTATAGTTTTCATTAGGATTCACTCTTGTTCCAAATTCAGTGGCCTTAGACAAATGTCTAATGACAAGTATCCACCATTATTAGTATCATACAGACTCGTTTCGCTGCCCTAAACATCCTTTGTGTGTGCTTTGCCTCGTCATCCCTTCATCCCGCCAACCCCAGGTTACCACTAATCTTTTTACTTTCTCCATAGTTTTGCTTTTCCATAATATACTGTTAGAATCATATACAGTATGTAGCCTTTTCAGATTGGCTTCTTTAACTTAACAATATGCATTTAAGTTTATGCCGTGTATTTTCATGTCTCGATGGCTCATTTCTTGTTAGCGCTGAATAATCTTCCATTGTCTAGATGGACCAGTTTATGTATTTCACCTTCTGAGGGACATCTTGGTTGCCTCCAAGTTGTGGCAATTATGGACAAGGCTGCTATAAACATTTATGTGCAAGTTTTTGCATGGACATAAGATTTTAATTTATTTAATTTAAAGATTTGTGCTTATTGGATTGTATGGTAAAAGCATGTTTAATTTTGTAAGAAACTGCCAAGCTGTCTCCAAAGAGGCTATTCATTTTGCATTCCCACCGGCACCGAATGAGTTCCTGTTTCTCCACATCCTGGCCAACATTCGTTGTCAGTGTTTTGGGTTTTGGCAATTCTAAGAGGTGTGTAGTGGTATCTCATTTTTGTTTTAATTTGCATTCCCCTAATGACATAATGGTGTTCAACGTCTCTTCATATGCGTCCTTGACATCTGAATATCTTCTTTCATGAGGTTGCCTATTCACGTCTGTACCCATTGTTTAATCAGAGTGCTCATTTTCTTATTGTTGAGTTTTAAAAGTTTTTTTTTAATATTTTGGATAACAGTCTTTTATCAGATAGGTCTTTTATAAATATTTTATCCCAGTCTCAAAGTATTATTTTTTTTATTTCATTTTGTTGTGATCAAAAAGCATATAACATTAAATTGACCATCTTAACCATTATTTTAAAGTATAATCTCCATTTTATTTTTTTTTCCAGAGAACAATTTTTTTTCAGTGCTTAAGGACTTAGCTCCTTACGTGGGCTTTGGTGGAGGTGGTGGGGTAGCACCCTTAGGTCTAAATCGGGGTGGGGGTTGGGGTGTTGGGTCCTTCCATGCTTCAGGAGAGCCATCCTGGACTACGTTGCTGTGAATGGCGCCGCTCGCACAGTAATGTAGTCTCACAGCTTGGGACGCACATACGCCTGGAAGCCATTCGCTTTGGAAATGCCCCTGATGGCAGTGGCCTCTACTGTGGTCCCAGTAACAAACTTCTCAGTGGTTGTGCCACAAAGGGCCATGGCCACGTGCAGCCTAATATGGCCCTTTGTGGCACAACCATTATTCTTTCTTTTCTTGGTCATCTTGAAAGTGAGGCCCCAAGAGGGCCCAACGTAACCTTTTTTTTTTTAGTTTTTATTTATTTTTTGTAAAGATTTATTTATTTATTTGGGGGGGTTGGGGAGGAACAGAGGAAGAGAATCTTAAGGGAGACCCCCTGCTGAGCACGGAACCCCACAAGGCCGGGGCTCCATCCCAGGACGCATGAGAGTATGACCTGAGGTGAAACCAAGAGTCAGAGGCTTAGCTGACTGAGCCACCCAGGCGCCCCTAAGATTTTATTGTTTTAAAAAAATCTCTACACCCGTTGTGGGGCTCGAACTCACAACCCCGAGATCAAGAGTCATATGCTGCACCGACTAAGCCAGCCAGGCATCCCCCTCATTTAACTAACCATTTTTAGTGTACAATTCATTAGTGTTAAGTATAGTCACGTTGTTGTACAACAAATCTCTAGAATCTTTTCATCTTGTAATACTAAAACTTCATACCCATTAAACATGAACTCCCCCTACCTCCAGCCGTTGGTAAACACCTTTCTACTCTCTATTTCTATGACTGACTGCTTTCGAGAACTACGTCCTATGAATGGGATCATACAGTACTTGTCCTTTTGTGACTGGCTTATTTCACTTAGCATAATGTCTTCAAGGTTCATCCATGTTGTAGCATGTGACAGCAATTCCCCTCTTTTAAGACTACATAATATTCCATTTTATGCCTATACTACCTTTTCTTTATCAATTCATCTGTTGATGGACATTTGAGTTGCTTCCACCTCTTAGTAATGTAAATAATGCTGACAAACACAAGTATACAAATAACTCTTTGAGATCCTGCTTTGAATTATGTTAGATATATACCCAGAAATAAAATTTCTTAATCATATGGTAATTCTGTTTTTAATTTTTTGAGGAACTTGCATACTGTTTTCCATAATGGATATATCATTTTACCTTTGCACTTAGAGTGTACAAGGGTTACAGACTTCTCCACATCCTCTCCAGCACTTGTTAGTTTCTGTTATTTTGATGGTGGCCATCCTATTGGGTGTGAAATATCTCATTGTGGTTTTGACTTGCATATCCCAAATGATTAGAGATGTGGAACATCTTTTCACATGCTTTTTGGCCATTTGTATATCTTATTTGGAGAAATGTCTATTCGGATCCTTTGCCCGTTTTTTAACTGGGGTATTTGTTTGTTGAGTTGTAGAAGTCTCTTACAGATTCTGAATATTAACTCCTTATCAGATATATGATTGGCAAGTATTTTCTCCCATAGGTTACCTTTTCATTCTGTTGATTGTTTCCTTTGGTGCAAAGTTTTTAAGTTTGGTATATTCCGGTTTCTTTTCTTCTTTTTCTTTTTTTAAGTAGGCTCCACACTCAGCATATGGAGCCCAACACAGGGCCCGAACTCACGACTCTGAAATCAAGACCTGAGCCAACACCAAGAGTTGGACGCTTAACTGACCAAGCCACCCAGGCACCCCAATATATTTCCATTTCTAATGTTGAGGGTTTTTTTCCTGTACTTTGGTGTATGTCCAGGAAATGATTACCGAATCCATTGTCCTAAAGCTTTTCCCTGATGTTCTTCCAGGAGTCTAAAAAGTTTTACATTTAGTCCTTTTTATTTTTCTATGATTTTATTTATTTATTTGAGAGAGAGAGCACGAGCAGGGAGGAGGGGCAGAGGAAGAGGAAGAAGCAGTCTCTCTGCTAAGCAGGGAGCCCGACATGGGGCTTGATCCCAGGACCCCGAGATCATGACCTGAGCCGAAGGCAGATGCTTAACCGACTAAGCCACCCACGTGCCCCTTATATTTAGGTCTTTAATTAATTTTGAGTAATTTTTGTATGTGGTGTAAGGTAAGAGTCGAACCTCATTGTTTGCATGTGGCTATCCAGCTTTCCCAACACCATTTGTTGAAGAGACCATCCTTTCCCTATTGCATAGTCTTGGCACCCTTGTTGAAAATCATTTGGCCATATATGCAAGGGTTTGTTTGTGGGCTCTCTCTTCGTTGGTCTATATATTTGTCTTTATGCCGGTGCCATACCATCTTAATTACTGTTGCTTTGTAGTATGTTTTGAAATCTGGGAGTGTGGAGACTCCCCAAGTTTGTTTGTTTTCTTTTCAGCATTGTTTTTGCTATTTGGAGTCCCTTGAGATTCCATATGAATTATAGGAATTTTTTTTATGTCTGCAAAAAATGTCATTTGCATATGGGTAGGAATTCCATTGAGTTTGCAGATTGCTTGAATGGTATAGGCATTTAAACAGTCTTAAGTCTTCCAGTTCATCAACATGAAATGGCTTTCCATTTATTTTATCTTTGATTTCTTTTAGCAATCCTTTGTAGCTTTCAATGTGCAAGTCTTTAACTTCTTTGGTTAAGTTTATTCCTAAGTATTTTATCTTTTTTGATGTTACTGTAAATAGATACTGCTTTTTTAATTTCCTTTTTGGATTGGTCATTGTTAGTGTATAGAGATGCAAATGATTTCGAGTGTTGATTTTATATCC